ACTCCTGTCCGACTTTTTGTATAAGTATCCTTAAAACGGAGTTTCGTTTGCCTAAGCTTTCCTCTGGATCGAGTTCTTCATCACGGTCAACTTCTTGTTGTGAAGATTTGTACAATTCGTACAGAAGTTTACCGCCAACAAACATGTAGAACATTTATCAATTGCTGAACATGAAATCGGGCGCAATTTCATAAATTTATGACAAAATTTGAAATTTATAGATTCAAAGGTTACTTGTTTATTTGGGCCTTAAATGATGGATATTCTTTGTGGCTGTAATTCCCGCCATCGCCGTTTTCCTTCTTTTCTTCGTCGTTTTGCACGGCCTCCACTGCACAAAACAACACAAACATAATGCAAATTACAATAAGAGCCCGGGCACTGCGCAACATCGCCAACATCTGCGAAGAAATACTTTAATCGCCGATTTACATGTTTTTTCGCTCCAACACGTACGAATTTGGAGCCAAAATGTTCATTAGATCCCAGGCTTTCCAGATCAACCCGTACATACGCATGTTTTAAACGACTGGGCCGCTTGAAGTGATGACTGTGTTTTGGCCGAGCGGTCAATGCCAGTCATGGCTTCTTTTAAGCTCGACAACTTCAAAACCCGATTTACATGGTTATTTTTCACTTTCCCAAAGTACTTTGCGACTTCTAGATAGAGTAATAAATATATATCGTAAATCTAACCGTACATTTAGATAAAGTGATCGTTAACTTTGTCTAGTTTTGCTTTTTGCTAAAAAATTAACAATTTCCGCTATGATTTTGTGTCATTATCGGGGGCCTGGCAACGAAAAAAAAATTAAGAGGCAAATGTCACGTAATTTTTTGGAAGGTGACTAAAGATTTTGCGGAACTTCACAAAATCATATTTTGCGTCATTTCTCATCACGTTTGGTTGGCCGCCCACGCAGGTTTGAAGGGGTAACGCTCGAAACGTTCACTCTTACTCTCGTGACTGACACAAATCTAAACGTTTACTAAAACTGCACAAAAATCATCAAGTGCTTGGCACAAATTAAGTTAGCTTACTGTTTCTTTGATGCCACTTTAAATCGAATTTTTATCCTTGAGTTTATTTGTTAAGTCCTTTCTTTCGTGAAGTCTTTCCTACGCTACCGCCTCTCTAAAAGCCCAGAGCTTTCGCCTTTAATTTGCTTTGGACAAAATTATTTAATGAAATGATTCTGTAATAATAATCGTGCAGTTCGAATATACTGTCGATAAATGAGTCGCGATTCCAATTAAAGGCCTGCATTTAAAGCCACAGCCGTAGATGCACCTGGTTGCTTACAAACTGAAAAATATAGCTACGTTGCAGGGCGATAACCGTCATTATTTACGCGGGCACTGATGTCAAAAAGCATAGTACATTACAAATATAAGATGCGATTTACTAACAACTTAAAGATGAAAGTCAATTTTCTACAAAGCATCTGAACCTAGACTAATTTGAAGTCACACGCAAAATACGAATGATGAGACGAAAAAAACCTTCGCGACAAAGGCGAGAGTTTCTAACAGCATAATCCAAATTAGGACTTAAAGCTTTTAATGAAAACAAAATAAGAATAATCAAGCTGTTCTTTCGATTGCACGTACCTCATGATGGAATCCTCTTTCACAAATTCTGCTAAAAAAATTATCACAAGTGTCCACCCGACTTATTTTTTGCGGCGTTACTTGTTCAGAACTTCGGGACTGTAGTGTTGACTAACGTAATGTTTACTGGGTGAGTTCTCTAAGTCCGCCTCCGCAGTTTTTACTGCGGAGGCGGACGGAGGTGTCATGGTCCACTTCTCAACATGCTTGGTTGGCTTCCCACGCATATTTGAAGGGGTAACGCTCGAAACGCCAGACGAACTTTTACAGTCCTAGTTCACCTTTGCTCTCGTTAGTAAAAGAAATCAAAACATTTACCGGAACTGCACAAAAATCATATTTTGCGCCACTTCTCATCACATTTGCGGCTGCCCACGCATGTTTCAAGGGGTAACGCTCCAGACGTCAGACGGACTATTACAGTCCTATTACAGTCCTAGTTTAATATCACTCTCGTGACTAACACAGATCTCAACGTTTACCGGAACTGCACAAAAATCGTGAAGCGCTTGGCACAAATCAAGTTAGCTGACTGTTCCTTTGTTGCCACTTTAAATCAAATTTTTATGCTTGAGTTTAATTGTTGTCTTTTCTTTTCTGAAGTCTTTTCTTTTGTTAAGTCTTTTCTACGCTGCCGTCTCTCTAAAAGCCCAGAGCTTTCGCCTTTAATTTGCTTTGGAAAAAATTATTTAACGAAACTATTCTGTAATAATAATCGCGCAGTTCGAATATACTCTCGATAAATGAGTCGCGATTCTAAAAAGGCCTGCATGTAAAGCCGCAGCCGTAGATGCATTTGGTTGCTTACAAACTGAAACATATAACTCCGTCAGTCCGGCGATAACCGCCATCACCTACGCGGGCAAGATGTCAAAAAGCATAGTACATTTCAAATGTAAGATGCGATTTACTAACAATTTAAAGATAAAAGTCAATTTTCTACAAAGCATCTGAACCTAGACTAATTTGAAGTCTCACGGAAAATACGAATGATGAGACGTAAATAACCTTCGCGACAAAGGCGAGAGTTTCTGACAGCATAATCCAAATTAGGACTAAAAAAATAAATTAATGAAAACAAAATAAGAATAATCAAGCTGTTCTTTCGATTGCACGTACCTCATGATGGAACCTCTTTCACAAATTCTGCTGAAAAAAATTATCACGTGTCCACCCGACTGACTTTTGCGGCGTTACTTGTTCAGAACTTTGGGACTGTGGTGTTAATAGGCGAGCCTTTTAAATCCCTCAGTAAAAATTGCGGAGGCGAAATATTTTACTCCACTTCTCATCACGCCCAAGCATGTTTGAAGGGGTAACGCTCGAAACATCAGACGGACTTTTACAGTCCTAGTTCACCTTTGCTCTCGTGACTAAAAGAGATCTGAACGTTTACCGGAACTGCACAAAAATCATATTTTGCGCCACTTCTCATCACATTTGGTTGGCCGCCCACGCATGTTTGAGGGGTAACGCTCGAAACGTCAGACGGACTTTTACAGTCCTAGTTCACCGTCTTGCTCTCGTGACTAACAGAAATCTAAACCGTTACCGGGAGTGCACAAAAATCATCAAGTACTTGGCACAAATCAAGTTAGCTTATTTTTTCTTTTGTTGCCACTTTAAAGATCTTTTAAATGGTCAAGTTACGTCAAGTTTTGCCCTTAAAGTCTGAAAGCGAAATAGAGGTGGAAAAATCGATGCGGAATTTTTATGCTTGGGTTTTCTTTTAAGTCTTTACTTTCGGCGGTTTACCTCCTCTGTAAAAGCTCAGAGGTTAGTAATGACCAGTAATGTGTACTTGGCGAGTCTTTCATTTTCCTTAATAGAATTTGTGGTGGCGGAAATATTTTGTTCCACTTCTCATCATGTTTGGTCGGCCGCCCACGCATGTTTGAAGAGGTAACGCTGGAAACGTTCACTCTTGCTCTCGTGACTAACACAAATCTAAACCGTCACCGGAAGTGCACAAAAATCATCAAGTGCATGACACAAATCAAGTTAGCTTATCGTTTCTTTTGTTGCCACTTTAAAGATCTTTAAATGGTTAAGTTACGTCAAGTTTTGCCCTTAAAGACTGAAAGCGAAATAGAGGTGGAAAAATCGATATAGAATTTTTATGCTTGGGTTTTCTTTTAAGTCTTTACTCCCGTCTACCTCCTCTGTAAGAGCTCAGAGCTTAGTAATGTGTACTTGGCGAGTCTTTCATTTTTCTTAATAAAAATTGCGGGGGCGGAAAAACTTCGGAATGGGGCATTTGACTACTGCAATGTCTGCTTGGCAAGTCTTTTATTTTCCTTAGTAATGATAGCTTTATTTTTCAAAACGAGTCCTGGTTGTCATCCTTTCGTAGGATTATAAGTTTTCATTCACATGCAAATTAAACTCATTTTCACAAGAATGGTTGAGAACCAGGCCTCGTTTTAAAAAAAGAGGCCAACAGTAATTCGGAAATTACGGGGGCGGGAAAACTTTTGTGTCACTTTTCGCATCACTCTTGTGTTTGTGTTTGTTTCAGAAACTTACAAGGTGTCGAAGCCTTTTTCAATGGCACGTTTGCTAAATCCTCATTCCAATTTTCAACGGAGTTCAGATGTTCCAATTTCGAGTTAATGTTGACATAATTAATTTAATAATGCTTACCTTGAGTTGTTTAATGCTTGGATTTTTTGATAATGCAGAGACACACAGAATATTTTTTCAGATCATTGTTACTTAATCTCAGAGCTTTGCTCGTAACAATAACCATGATAAACATACAGGCTAAAAAGAATAATAGTACCGTCAACAATGCATCGCAATCAACAGAGGTTAAAAGATTTATCCTGTTAGTATCTCTGAGATGAAGAATGACCACTTTATTTTAAGTAAGGCATGGAGGACTCAACCCGAGAAGACTCTCGTAGTCCTCGCTCTCTTTCTCTTGACTAACGGAATTC